ATCCCAAGCTAGTTCCTGCAAACTGATTTCCAACTTGGTCTAGCCCGTAGCAGAGACAAGACACTGCTGGTGTGGAATGGATTGCTTCAAAATCCAGAGGCATCTGGGAATTGCTGCGTTAGACTGGGAAGAAGAAGAAAAGGCATCTAGGGATGCTTGACGGTGGGTCGGTGCTGTGGCGCAACGCGTGTGAAACTCCATCAGGTGGCCTGGATTTGGGAAGGGGGTTTCTCTAGGGCAGGCACACAGTGAAAATTAGGTGGTGGTGGAAGGAGAAGCGAGCCCGGGGGGTGTCAAGTGCAGGGGCTGGTCAGCTTGGTCATGGCCCCAGGTTGGGCCACCAAGTTTGCTGCGGTGAGCCAGGCTTAGGCCCGTCCCTGCTTCCCCGCGATGGAGCTTGTACCCTGATAATTGCAATGAAAGCAGCAATCAGGTTGGTAATTTCACTGAGCTCTTTTCAGTTCTAATTAACATTATTCATTTCTTGTGTGTCTTGCTGGGTTGAGACAATCTGTGCTCTCCAGCCCAGCCCTCTGGAACACCAGCGATCTGTGTGAGAGGCAACAAAAAAGTGTTGTGTGCCAATTACCGCACTTCAGTAATTAAAAACCTCCTTCCCCCCGCTGCCGGGCCACCTCCTCTCCCGTCATTTTCTGTGTGCAAACTTGTGAAAGCAAAGAGAGAAATTTAGGAAGGCATGTCATTGCTGGCGTGTGCCATCTGTGTCTGCGCCGAAAATGCAGGGAGGCACCGGGGGGTGTATGAAGCACGGGCGGGATCAGTGGTCAGGGCGCTCAGCTTTGGCACCCTGTTGCTTATTTATTCCTGATGGTGGATTGTGGTGGCTGCGGTTTGGTCGTGGGCTTTTTGGTAGCAGGTCCGTGTCTGCAAAGCAGCCTGCTCCCCTCTGGCCAGGGCTGTTTTGTCCCCACCGAGGGCTTTGCTGGCATTTTCAGCCCTGCTCATCTTTGTGCTTGTGTTACCTAAGGTGGCAGAAACCTGATGGCGATGCTTTCCCGCTTCCAATTTCATTCTCCTACTGTTGTCCCTGCAGCTGGGCGGGCTGTCGGCTGCACCCTTGGACCCCTTGCGTGGGGTGCGGAGGGTGCAGGCGTGAGGACTTTGGCTGTACGAGCTCAGCCCCTCAGGCTGCGGGAACGCCGTCTGGTTTGGGGGAGAACGGCCAGTCCTAATGGACCAGCTTGCTTGTAGAGGGCGGTTAGCAAAGCCAAGGAGCTTCGGCTGCAGAGATGCTAACAGGTCTGGAAAGGGCAGCACTAGCCTGCGCCTGTATCCCCTTTACACCCGCCGTGCATCATTGCCCAGGGAGTGTGGGACAAGGGCATGAGCAAGCAGGCTGGGACGAGTGGGGAAGATGCGCGCACGCAGCTCTCACCTTCGGTCAGTGCACGCAACTGTCTTAAAATACCCAAACTCCATCACTTGTGGACGTTTTGAGGTGCCCTCAGTGGCAGCAGGGAGCAGAGGGTCTGGTGCAGCGTGAGGAGCTACATCTCTCTGCAAACCATCAATGCCTGCCCCCAGGATGATGCAGCAGTGGTGTTTTAGCAGTGTTTCCACCTCCCAGAGGAGAAACCCTGGGGCTTGGGACTCTGGGTGTGGAGGGAAAGAAACAGCAGAGAGCGCGAGCAGCAGCGTCTCCTCCTTGTGCTGACAGACAGCAGTTTTTCATCTTCCTGGAGGAGAAGGCCTTGCCTTCCAAGCAGGAACGCAACAAGGATTAAGGATCTTGAGAGAGAAAATTACCTCATCTGTGCTTAATTATTTTTACATCTTCGTTTTGGAGGCAAGTGCTGTTTTCCGGCACTCCGGGGACCTATCCCTCCCCTCCCTCCCTGGCACATCATAGGGCGAGAGGGAGGGTGAGAGCCTCCAGCGAGGTGGAGGAAGCATCTCTGGGCTTTGCACCTTGCCAGGAGAGGGGTGGAAAGGGGGGAGGCTGCAGGCTCAGCGGTGGCTTTGCTCTCCACCTGTGCTTGGAGCCTGGCTTCCCGGCCAAAGCCAGAGGCTTTCCGCTCGGCTGCCTGCATGCGGGAGAGGAGGGCTTCCCATCCCTGCGCCGGGCTTGTGGCGAGAGGAGCTGCTGGAGGAGGGAAGGGGGAGCAGATGGAGGGGCTGGAAGAGCATCGGGTCGCTGCGGCGAGCCTCGGCCGCGGGAACCCCGACCGGCGCTTGTGCGAGGAGGAGCGGGGTTGGCATGGTGGTTGGAAGGAGCTCAGGTAGGAGCGCGACCCGTCGTCCCCTAAATAGCACACCGTATCCAGAGGTCAAAGTGCGTCTATCCCGGGAGCTGTTTCTGCACTTTATTATATATATATTGGCTTGGGAGCTTTAAGAGGCAGGGAAGGAAATAAAATAACAACTTTAAGCTTGCCGATCCCAGGGACAGAGAAGCGTGTCTAGGTGATAAGGAGAGATTGTGACCGGGTGCTGTGAAGGGCGAAAGCACTTATTTCACTGTTGCCTCATGCGTTACCTGAGTCCCGTTGCTTTTCAAAAGCACTTAAATGCCCATATGATAGAGGGAATGCTTGGATTACACACTGTCTGGCTCCATTATTATCCAGGGATCTCCAAGCTGATGCATTTCACAAAAAAAATGGTGTGGAGGAGGAGAGAGGAAATATATATTTTTAGTTCAGCCTGCTTACGGGTCCTCAGGGATAATCTCCACAGAAGGGACCGGTCCGAGAAATTCAAGCCACATCTGGCTTCTCATCACCCAGTCCTTCTCCGTGATACGGCTTTGGCAGTAAGGGTGGACACCCCTGTGTTTGTGCAGAAGTGCTGCTCGCTGCAATGGCAGGAGCCTATTTCGTGGCATTGCGATGGGCAGGCCAGAGCCAAGCATCAAATATCCACCTGCATTTTATTCAAACCCCGCAGGTCTAAGCTACCAGCATAGTTGAGGTCCAGAGTACAATACACTAAAACCATCCTCTAGGAAGAAATCTCAAGTTTTGTTCGACTTGAGCAACTAAATTCTCAGGTTTTGCTCAAGTTGTAATGCAGCTGAGAGCAAGAGCCAAGTTCTTGGTGTTCAGCCCAGGCTGACTCTATTGCTTTTTTTATGTAGATAATAAAAATCTGCTCACATGTAATTTATTATTATCGTAATATCATTATGGAACGGCAATAAAATTGTTTAATTTATCGGATGTTTTTCACACCAGAGAGGGAGGATGGTGCAGTAGCTTGGGTACGTGCCTAGCAAATCGGCAGGGGAGTCCTGGGCTGTAGACTACCCATCTCGCCTTGGGCATGTCGCCTCATGGGGGATCCGTCATCCCTAACCTCCAAATGTTGTGTGTGGAGGCTGAAAGGGTTATTTAGGCTTCTCCTGTAATCACCGGGGCCAAAGAGATACCTCCAAAAAGAGGCTAGGTGAGATGAGACAGCTTGTCCCCAGGTGGGTACCTGTGTCTTTGCTGGCACCGGTAGCGGACACGGGAAGGGAAGCAGCCCACCAGCGAGGAGACAGACGGGCAGATGCAGGGAGAGAGGCTGTAGACGGCTGCATGAATCTCAGCGAGGACTCGAGCTGTCTTGCAGGTTGCTTCTATTATTACTGCTTACTCGGCTCTGCCCAAGCGTGCTCACCCTGAGAAACAATCCCTAAAGTGTCGGGATAAGTCCCTGATGGACCACATGCCACAGTTACACTTGTCCTTGCCGTCAACTCCTCTGCTACCGCGGTCTGGGACGTATAGCCCATTAAGCCCCTTGCATTTGGCGAAGTTACCCCGTGCAAGACGTCCCAGAGGCTGCCGCGCTCTCTTTCAGTGCCTCCGAAGTTAATTTGCATCCCAGCCACTGCGCAAGTAATGAAGTAGATTGGGGAGAATATAAACAGTAGATCTTAGGCTGAGTGGTTTTATGTAGGGACATTATCCTCCGTTGCCGGCATCCAGCAAAGCGCGGCTAAGTCCTAACAGCTCTGTAATCCCAAACTTGCTCGGAGAGAAGCGGGGTTTTAACTGGCTCGGGGGGCTGCGGGTTTCTGCTGCCTAGGGAAGGGCTTGGACAGCAGGCCCTGTGTTCTTCAGCTGTCTGGAGACGATTTGTGGAAATGGAGGATTCAAACCTTGCTTGGGGACGTGGGAACGGAGGGTTGCAGGGCTGGCAGATACCATCGGGGAAGCAAGACTGGCCCCTGCTACTGTGGGCAAAATAACCCCCTTCAGGAGCAAAGTCTCTTCTTAGGTTTGTGCTGTGTTCTCTTCCGGGGGGGGGCAGTTTCCTAATGAGGCTGGAAATAGAAGATTTCTGCCTCTAAAACATCGCTTGATAGGTGAAGTGCTTAGCTGGGGTAAGGTGCAGTAAGCGAGGGAGATGCAGCAATGCAGATGATGTGTAGGGAAGGAAGAGCTGACAGCGGGGACAAATGGTAGGAAGCTCAAGGTTTCTCTTTAGAGGTGTGTCAGAGCTGGCTTTCTCCTGAGATAAATTTTCCTTGCTCCTTTTGTGAAGCAGTGCGAGCTGCTTTCCCGGCTCTGCTTTGCATTTCTTTGCCTGGCTGCAGGGATACGAAGGTCTGCAGAGAGAATGACAAGTGATGGGTTTGGGCAGGAGGTAGCAACCTGCATCCGCCCCAAAAAAAGTGTGGTTTGGACTCAGGACGGAGGTTTTGGCTCAGCTCTGGTTGTCTCCGAGTTTGCAAAGAAGCAAATGGGAACAGAGGAGCAAAAGGTCCTTCGGTGACTGGTGCCGGGTGGCTCTGACCTCTCTACGTCTGAAATCATTGTGAAGCTCGTAGGCAAATCTCTGGAGCCACCAGTTTAGATGGATATCGGTGCCCTGAGCACCACGGGTAAAGTGCTGACGTTGTCCTCTTTGGACACTGAAAGCACTTGGTCTCTGAAACTGCTGCTGGCAGCAAAGCTAAAACTAGTGCCAGGAGGACCAGGAGGGGCTGGGGAAGGGAGGGCAGAGCGCCCAAGAGCAGCGCGCTGATGGGTCACCTCTCTGCCTCTCCCCAGGTGCTCCGTGGATAACCGAGTCACCCGAGTGGCCTGGCTGAACCGCAGCAGCATCCTCTATGCCGGCAATGACAAGTGGTGCTTGGACCCTCGGGTGGTGCTCTTGGCCAACACCAAAACCCAGTACAGCATCCAGATCCAAGATGTGGACGTGTACGATGAGGGCCCCTACACTTGCTCCGTGCAGACAGACAATCACCCCAAGACATCGCGTGTCCATCTCATCGTGCAAGGTAAGAGGAAGGGAATTCGTAGAGGGATTGGGCTTGGTGCTTTGATTTCTGTTCCTCCCTTTTTCCCTGGTGTCTTCTCCTCCTATTGCTCCTACGTTGAGCATGTAAGACAACTTGGTGCAAACATAGAGGCTGATCAACAGGCTTGGAGAGTCCCAATGAAGCCGGGCAATGCATTTATCGAACTTTCCTGGAGTAGTCGTGGGGCTCTGATACAGGCAGCTCTGCCTCCCGAAGTAGTCGCTGGCAAACCCGTGTTGCTGTTTGTTGTTGTTGTGTTTTGATGGGTTTTTTTGTTTTCCATGCTGGAGGCGATGCTTGAAGTAAAACTTGTGTTGGGGGAAAAGAGAGAGCTGGCAGATTTGTGTACTTTGCGGGGGTGTGTGTATGCCTAGCAACAATACGTGTGTTGAAACTCTGTACTTCTGTGAGGAGGAGGAGGAGGAAGGCCGGCATGGGGTGGCGGAGCGCTTGCGGTGGCCAAGTGTGCGCTCGCTGGCACATAAGCGTGCCTCGCTGAGGCTGCGCAGTCTGCGGGGTGCATACGCGCGCTCTTCAGCAAGCGTGCAAGCACAGGCGGGCTCTCGCGAGGGGACGTACGAGCATGGCCACAGGCGACGGTCAAGCAGAGGGGCATTCACGCAAGATAGCTCCCATGTCCGTGCTGCGGGAGTCGGTGGGGACGTGCGCTGGGCAAGGGGGAGCCTGCGTGGTGGGGCATACGGGGCCTGCTGTGCTCTTAGGGAGGCAGCCTCAGGGAAGATTAATGGAAAATTTCTAATCCCTTGCTAGGAACCTTTTTTCCTCCTTCTTCTTCTGTGATTTGGCCAGGAGCCGTCTTAGCATGACACACCAGCTTGAGTATTGGAATCTCGTCTCCAGCTAATTTTCGAATGCTGATGGGTGTATTGATTTGGAAACAAGCTGGGTTAAAAAGTCTTGTACACAGAGTCGGGTTGAGCTAATTCGCCGTCGATATGCCAGGCCTGAGCGTTATTGACAGCCTAATGAATAGAAGGGGGGGAAAAAAACCCAAACCCAGGGCCTTTATTTTCCCCCCTCCCTCCCTCCCTTTCCGTTTTCTCTTACCTCTTCAAGCAATCAAACAAGCTAAACAGAGCTGGACTTTCTCCATCTCCATTAACCACAGAGAGAAAGTGGATGCATTGCCAGCCCGGGTCCTTGCTGTTTATCTTGCAATCTGTTAATACCTGCCTGAGTTTCTTAAGCCAAAGTCGATCACCCGCAAGTTCTGAAGTCGCTATCAGGCGCTGGGGTGATTTGGGACAATTTCTATCAGCTCTCTTCCGATTCCTGTTTCCTGACCTAAATTTCCCGTATCACCAGACATCCAGGTCCATCCCTCCTGTGTCTTGCTATATCATTAGGAAGAGATGTTTGGGTAATGGAGGAAAAGTTCATATCTTAACTCCTTGCAGCGGTACAGTTAAGTACTGGAGGATTCAGTGAGGGGCTCAGTCCTGTAACGCGCTGAACATCCTCGCCGCTGCCGACAGAAATACCGGGCCCCTAATTTCAAGAGCTATTGCTTGGCTCACCCAGCCCTTTCTCGGGCGGGAGGTGCCAAGAGCGTAATGTGCAGCAGCGCGCTGGAGGCAGGACATGAAAGTGAATATCGTGTCCAGTTAAAGGGCAGCCTGCCTTAATGACCCCGATTAAAATTTGGCTGGGGTGCCAGGATTAACTCTCCTGCCTTGGAAAATGGGCCCAATCAATATGCAAGCTGGTATAATCCTGTCCTAAAAAACATTCAGCTTGCGGGAAGCAGTGCTTATCCCTCTCTCCCAGGAAAGCAGGGTGTCCGAGCGCCAGATTTCAGGGATGTGCCAGGTTCAGCGCGTGGCTGCGGGACCTCTTGCCCCTCCCTGCAGCCTGATAGGAAAGGAGAAGCAGTGAGAGGAGGCGGGAAAGGGGGTCTCCCCTTTTAAACAGGGTTAGTCCAGGTATAGCCAGAAAGAGGGAGGTGTGCAGGTTGCTCTTAGCAGGTCCTGACTTTCCCCTTGCTGCACCAGCAAAGGGCCTGGGCGCAGAGCTCTGGAGGCAGGAGCACTCCAGCCTCTCAGGATGCAATTAAATCGTGCCCCAGGGCAGGCTGTGCTCTCCAAAGGGACTGGCCGCGAGGGGCAAGGAGCAATTCCCCTTCCAGCCGGGATTTCAGCAGCCTGCTGCTCCCCCAGGCAGGCGTGATGGGTGCGTATCGGCCACGGTCCAAACAACCTCAGCCCATGCCGTGCATCCCTCCTTCTCCCCGAGTTTAGGGGATATCACTGGCAAGTGGCCATGGATGGAGGGAGTGAGGAGCTGGGGCATCCCTGGTGTCTGCCAAGGGCTGCTGGAGGAAGCAGTGCTGCGGGTGGAAAGAGCAAAGAACAGAAGAGGGAGAGGGGTGGGAGAAGGAGTTTCCTCTAGGGTGTGAGGGTTGGGGATGATCCCCCAAGGCAGCGGAAGAGAATCACCTAGAAAACCACCAGGAACCAAGGATGTCCACGCTGCAGCTAGGGAAGTGCTGCACATTTATTTCTAGGTTGACTATATTGATGGTTGAGATCCCAAAATAGGTGGGTAGAAGGCACCTCAAGAGCTAATTTAGCCTGTCCCCCTGCAACGAGGCAGAGACATCGCTGGCAAACACGTGTGAAAGCTATTCTTGAAAATCCTTAACAAAGCAGGTTCTTCAGTCTCCCTAGACGATCTATTCTACTGCTTCGCTACCTTTATAATTAGAAAATGTATAGCTAATATCTAACTTAAACCTTCTTTGTTGCAAATGAAGTGGAGTTTTTCTCAGCCTATCCCCAGCGGACGTGGGGAACAATTGATCAATGTCCTCCTTGTAACAACCTTTAGCTTTTGGGAAGGTTGTTACCGTGGCTATACCCCTTAGCCACCTTCTTTCTGAAATGATGCAAGCCCCGTTTCTTCCACCTTTCCCTGTCGGTCAGGCTTTCAGAAACACTTGTCAGTCTTGAAATTCTGCTACAAAAGGTGATTCCTGCCGATCCAGGAATAGCAGGTCGGTGCATCTCTCCTTCCCGCTGCCGGTGAGCCTCTGCACTAGTGTGGGACAAACGAGCCCAGGAATGAGACAACAGACCCTTGGCATTGAATGCTTCAAAGTCCAGACCTGCTGTTTCGGGGACTGCTTTAAATGGGGTCAGGCTCGGCGTTGGCGATGCCAAGTTGATGTGAGCTAACAACATAGCTGCAAAAGGTACAAGGAGGTTCTTTGCACCTGGATCTCCCCAGGAAAGAAGATCCCAGACTACAGCTGGACCTAAAATGAACAGCTCAGGGAGCGCCCACGTCATCTGCAGTGTCTGGAAGGTGGTCCCTGCCTGTCCCGCTCGCTCAGCCCTCATTTCTTCTTAGGAGGAGTTGCTGTAAGACCAGACAAAGCACAGGGAAGCAGCACTGCCCCTGTTTGCAGGAGTTCGCTTCGGACCCTTGGGAAGAGAGAGGCGTTTCTGGGTGAAAATCCCAAAGAGACAGAATCCAGGGAAGTTCCACTTGCAATAGGCCAGCTCTGAACTTGGAGGGAGGCAGAAAACCAGAGCGAGAAAGAGGACTTGGACCCCACTGACCTCTGAGGAGTGATGCTTTCCCTTCCTCTCCTCTCCTGTATCCCACTCTGGTTTCCTTAGCAAGTCCCGCTTCTTGCCCCTGCAGCAGCAGCATCTCGGGCGCAGCCTCCCCCTTCTCCCTGCTCCCGGTAGGACACTTCAGCTATTTAAGCTGTTCTCTGGGTTCCTGGGTTTAAAAGAGGGAGGGGAGGGAGGAGGAGGAGGAGGACGACGACGGTGTCTGGAAAGCTCTTATTTGTATTGATAATAAGCCGTCTCCAATGCACGCCTGCAAAACACTCCCACTGCCTTGCGAGATGCATTAAGGAAAGATGGCCTTATCTCAGCGCGGGAAATGGACTTGGGGAAGGAGGCACGGTGCCTGCCGGAGTTTAATCTCACTTAGGCACAGAAATTTGCATGATAGAAAATGGTGGAATTTTAGTGCTTAGAAAGAAAGAAAGAAGGGGGGGGGGGAGAAGGCAGGCAACTGGGGGATATTAGGCTTTCTCGCTTCTTTATCAGTTTCCCTGGCCCTATCTGGCTCTTTCTGTTGTCACTGGAGCAACTAATCACCCCTCCCCTTTTGTTTGGTGCAAATGAGTTTTCCCACTCTTTCCCAGGCCCCGGGTTAATCTGCAAATCCCTGCCTTTGTTTGGGAGTTAATTACCTGCTCGCAGGAGTCGGGGAGCTGCGAGCGCAGGTGGCGGGGGGCTGCCCCCGTGGCGGGGGGCACACGTGGCGTACCGGTGGTACCTCGCCCTGCGCCGGGGCCGCCCCGGGAGCATCGCTGCCAAGGTGTGCACCGGTGAGATAAAGCCACCGGTGGGGCTGCGGCGCCTGAGCCGGCTTTGTTTCAAGCGCCGAACTCTGCCCAATTAATTTTCCTTTGATGCCATAAGCCCCTTTCACTCATGGGAGAAGAAGGATAACTTTTTGCAGCTGCTTTTCTGCCTTGCACCGGGGTGCACGGGGAAACGCCTGCCCTGCCGAGCGGAGGGCCAGCGGGTTCACGTGGCAGCGTAGGCTGGGAGGAAGGATCAGTCCCTGCAGTCATCATCACTCTTGTCCGAAGGCCTCAAGGTGGCTTGCAGGGTAAACAGAGTAGATGGGAATGCATTGCTTGCGCCTGGGGTTTTTTCGCCGGAGATGCTCAGAGCCTTCCCGACCACCCTCCGCCCAGGAGCTTTGGCACCGCTGCCGGAGCCAGGGGGTCCAGCCGGGCACACGCGGGGCTGAGCCTGTCCCCTGCACCGCCAAAGCCACCGGTGCTGGGGGTGAGGAGGGGCAGAGGGATTCGCCCAGGGCTGTTTGGTAACTCAGTGGCGGTGAGGGTGTGTCGACGTTGGCCCTGTATGAAGCCATGGGCTGGAGTTTCGCACTAGGTAGGATGCTTCCCAGCAGAAACCACAGGAGCT